TAACTTTGCAACTACATGTTAACTAACTCTCATTAGAGTATTAGTAGCCTGTAGTAGACTTTCAGTATACTAAATGGTTTGTTGTTAGGGTTTGGGTTAGTAGAATTAGTTGACTTGTATTTGCCAAGTTACTTAGAGTCAGTAGAATATCTGTTGGGGGGCCATTAAAGGGTACATATATAAAATAATTTCTTTTTACATATAAATCATACATTTGTAGTCTACTAATGCAATGCAATGCTTGGGTCTGAATTCCTCATTATTATAGCTCCACAGGCCCCTATTCTACCCCTTTTCTGATGTGCGTCTGTGAGCAACTCATTTTTGAGCGTTCTCTTTAAATGCAAAGGAGATGTTTCATACCCCGCCCGCTCTCTATGTTGCTGAGTTCACACTCCATTCAACTCCACCCCGTTCGGCCATTTTTGTAGTTTGATTAGAGATATATACGATTATATAGCGTCACAGAACATTTTTATTCACACGTTAACAAAATGTCAACAACGGAAGACTTGTCCATCAAGCCTTACATGTTCGAGCCAGAGCGAGCGAGCGAACCAAGTAAAAGTGGATTATTTCTCTTGTTAAAACAAGCACACTAACAAGATAAATGATTATGGTCTAATCTTACCACTAAAAATCTGTATTGATAATATGATACATTTGGAAAAGCATCAGAAAACACAGCAGCTACATGACCATTGATGAAGTCAAGAACAATAAAAATGCAGATATATAACGTTACTTCAAAACAAAAACAAAGAAATACAAAGCTAAACCATGACCACCATGTGTTTTAAGAAAGTAAAGTACTTTATTTTTATTAACGATATTTACAGCTTATCGAAATGCTCTGTTCGTCGTCTCATCTTCGATCGGCAAACCATTCTTTATACTAGCGGAGGTTGTTCTCAAAACATAATATAAAACACGTAGTAAAGTTACTCATAGTTACTAGAATGTCTGAAGTGGACTATCGAAATAAAGTGTTACCACACCTTTTGAATGAGTCATTTGATTAAGTGCCCCACCTTTGTGATTGTACATCATTCAGGGTGTCACACAGCACATTAGAGGAAAATATTGCTCATAAATTAAACTGCTCTTTTCACAGGAAATTCTTTTTGGGTTCTTCATGGTGGAAGTATTATATTTCATAATCAACTTTATCTCAGTTGTGTTTCTTTAAACAGATAGACTGTAATTAATTATATAATGTTATATTGCACTGGCAAATGGCAGTCAATGCATGGATGCATTGTTCTATTTTTTATGTGTAAACCTTTTTTTATTGAACTATACTTTTTGCATTAAAGGGGAGGTAAAGTATGATTTCACTTTTCTAACTTTAGTTAGTGTGAAATAAACAACATTATCAAAGTTACAACACTCAAAGTTCAAAGCAAAGGAAGATATTTGCTTTAAAAGAAAAGGACTACAACAAACGGCTGGTAGGGACTACACACCATTCCTCCCGGGTTAGTGACATCACCAACCCTAAGAGTCTGTTTACATAACACAGTCTCATCCCAAGACGTCATAACTGAAGTCTTGGGACGTCTTTGGACCATACGTCAACATCCGCCATTTTAGGGTACCCTTTAACGTCAGTTACATGACGATCCTGGGACGTCATACAACTGACGTTTTACCTTTAACGTCAGTTAGGTGACGGGGTAGGTTTAGGTCTGGGGTAGGGTTAGGATCCGATAACGTGATCTAACCGACGTTAAAGGGTAACCTAAAACGGCGGATGTTGACGTATGGTCAAAAGACGTCCCAAGACGTCAGTTATATGACGTCTTGGGATGAGACGAGAACGCTTGTGGGTGAAAACTTAAAAATATTTGATCGGATGTGCCTTTCGTTTACACGGTGATGGCGATTTTGGGGATTAAAAACGCAAAAAAATGAAACCACGCTCCAGAGTGGAAATCTTAAAAACGCTCCACCGCCGTGTTCCCATGTAAAAGGGTAAAAACGCAAAAGTCTGCTAGACAGTTGCTGTGTCCGAAATCACCCACTACTCACTATATAGTGGACTATATAGTGAGCTCGCCATTTTGTAGTGCTGTCCGAATGTATAGTGATGATTATTATACCCTATATAGTCCACTCAACGTATCCCACAATGCATTTTGAAAATTAGTGTACAACCGATGGTCACTAACCCCAGCCCTACATACCATCATGCATTGGGCTGATTGTAAAAATAAGTTATACTCCTGTGTGGAGTAGCGCATTATAACAGAAACGGCCAGACTTTTAGTTTTTACATTTTGGAGAAATAAGCTCAATATAATTTGATTATTTAGCCCAGAGCCGGCTCGGCACCACCTTACAGATGATATAATCAACTGCGCCGAGAGACGATCGAGTAGTGTCCGAAAGTGGTATTTCTATTATGCTGGTGAGCTCACTATATAGTGCTCTACTCCCTACCCCCAACATAGGGTGAAGATTTTGGACACAGCGAGTGAAGGTTGTACGCAAAAGCGCAAACTTGGTGTTGTTGTGTGGCAGTGCTTCACATCGCCACCTAGCGGCCTGGAGTGCATACTACATCGAATTTCACACATTTTTGCATCACCATATGCACGCGGATTTCCCACCCATAGCTCGTCTAAACGCAGAATAAAAAGTGAAAACGTAACACCACTTTTGCATTTTCTCTTCAGATTGTTTACATGTAAACATAGCCTAAAATGTACATAAACCCTGCCCCCAGGAACATGCAGTCCCTGTTGAGAAGAGGAAGAGTAAATTCATAAGTAATAAAAACGTTCAGGATTTGTCTTTCTTCCCAGGCTCAGCAATGCACCATCCACATAAGCGTGTTCGTGTGCATAAGCGTATCTGACTATGTGTGAGTGTGTGTGCGAAAGTGTGCACGCAATGAAGCAGTCAGTCTTAATCATCTCCTCTCCTTTCCTCGACACGTGAGAACTGCTTGGCGTCAGAGAGCTGTGAGTAGATAAAGCTTGATGTCACTGGGAGAATATCCCCTCCTCCTCCGCCTGAGTCCAGATGGGGCACACTGATCCAAAGCACATGAACTCCAGATATTCCCATACATAACATATAAACAACATAACTGATAAATAAATCATCTCTTGTTGGAAGTCACATATTGTTGTAGATATGTATGGCTGTTTCTTTTGACCGAATATAAGCCTATAACTGATCAATAATGCCCCTCTCCTTATCCACGTGCACCTGTCACTCCCTGAAAAAGGGAATCTCCCTCTCTGCTCTGTATTAAAGGATTATTGGGACTTGAGTTAAGAGACTTACCTCTGGTAATGAGATTAATGTGGAACTCTAGCCCTTTGGCTCTAACGGTGAGAATGTCAGCATAGAGGCCACACACACACACACACATACACTTGAGTGTAAACAGAGAGAATGCTTTGCTGACGTCATATGCCAAACATGCATAAACCGATAGATAAACAAGAGACGTAAAAGACCACATGTAGGCTACAGGTGCTTTAAAAATGTTAATGAAACCAGAAAATAACATGCCTGGGTACAAAAAATTAACCAAAAATGTTGCATAAAAATGCAATTGACTATTTATAGAACTATTAGGATTAAAAAAATATATATATCATTTTCATTATAATTGTATCACTCGCATATCGTTCTAAACCTGTGACGGATAACATGTTGACAACCAAACATTATGGTGACCAATGACTTTCATTATGGCCAAAAATCAAACAAACAAGCAATGAAACATTTCTCAGAATATCATATTTTATGTCAAATGCGAGTCAAACGACATGAGAGTGAGAAAATTATTACAAAATTGTCTTTTTTGGGTAAACTATTGCTTTAAATATTCTAATATTCATAATCTGCTATGTATGTGTTCTTGTATTTATAAATATTAATGTTTATCGATACATATAGATGTTATAACTATTGTTACGAATGTTAAATATTGATAAAATGTTCTAAATTGACATGTACATATGCCAAAAAAATTTAAAAAATCACGATGCTGAAAAAAAAAGTTGATGGTCTTTATGCAAAATATACAATTTGTGTTCTATTATTTAATGGTAAAATGTGACCTGAGAATGTTAACATCTTTCAGATTAGTGAAAAAAAAAGTCCAAACTATGGTGTAATACATTTATATTATTCCAACCAAACAAATACACAATCACAAAGTAGAAGCAAAAGCAACTGAAACACGGGTGTGCATAAAACGCAGTTACAGTTAAAGTTACGAGAAGGAAGACAAAAGATCACTGAGAGTGTTTGAGGAAGCAGCTTGGTGTCATTAGCTGTGCTCTGCTGGCTGTGGGCTGTGTGGGTTAATGACGGTGCAACACACGAGAATAATTTACAGGTTTCGTTGAAGTCACATTTAATCTCACGCAATCCAGGTCAAATATTCAGGAAAGGGAAGGCTTTGTTCTTTAATTGAACTGTTAGAAGCCAATCTTAGTGAATCTCATGATTTAAAGCATAAGGAACATGTGTTTGTAGGCTGAACGCTAGCATGTGCAGAGCATGCGGTGACTCAAGAAGACTGCATGCTAATAGAGCTGAGTCCAACCCTCAACAAACAGACATGATTCATCTCTGAAGGGACATGTCCCTCATGTCTGGGTAAATGAAAACTGACAGGACTCAGAGATGTCAGATTCAGTAACTCCATCAACCCCCCGAATGCACGACAAATCTGCAGATTAATGATATACAGCACATAAGAAGTGAACAACATCCTTGTATACCAACGTATCCCAATGAGATACACTTAAACATATTGTTGGTTTAACTTAAAAAAAATGAAGTAACCTGGTTGCCTTAAAAATTGAGTTAATACAATGAGGGAGATCTTCAGAAACTCTAAATATTATGTTATCTGAACTACATAAATTATTTAAGTTGATTTGACAAAAGAAAAAATGTTGTGATTACAAATCGTGAAAATATATATATATATATATATATATATATATATTTTTTACAGTTAAAGTGGTAAATTATGTTTTTTTTTTTCCTTAGGAACCTCTCACATTTCATTAAATCAGGCAAGTTAAGACTAACCTCAGCTGAACAGCAGCAGCATTTGCGATCAGGTGACTGCTTTAAACTTACCAAACAGTTGGTGAGCTGAGGACAGGAATGTGATGTAACCTGTCCTCTGCATTTTGAGACCTGAAGCTGGACGAGACACAGGCCCAAGTCGTTTTAGCAGAGCTTTGGTCTCATTTGAGGATGTGAACAACTGCTCTGCCACATGTGTAAAACACCAGTGGAATAAAGTAGGTTTTTTGGATTAGGAACATGATTGCGAACATACCGGTCTGTTACGTTCATTGCAGAATTTCCGGTCTTTCATTCCTAGGAAACATCAATCTCTCCCTCCTTATACTCAGGAAGTCTTGTGTAATGTCTCATTTTTTTTTCTCGCCTCTTTCAGCGGTGTGTGCTGTGCTCCACACTTGTGGTTTCCCTCTCTCTCTCTCTCTCTTCCTCCTTTTCTTCCTCTTATCTCAACAGTGCACCTGCAAGACAAGGAGACTTTCCATATGCAGACTGCAAAAAATGTTATACTCTTTTTTTTTTCTTTTTTTTTTCCTCCACCGGTCCACTGATCCATGCATTACGTGCACACAATACGAACACACTTTCCATCCCTCTTACTCAAAATACTATTAAAGAAATACACACCATCACACAGATGCATTACAGTAGAGAACTACGTCAGCGTGAAGCTTGAGAAACAAAAGACAGACTCCATGAAGGAAATAAATGAGAAAGAGAAACAGGAAAGGGAAACTTTGTCTGAGGTAATCTATTAAAGTAAGTCTCAAATGGTGGGGTTTTTTTTATAATGAAAAGATCAGCAGGGGAAATTACTAAATGTATACTAGAAGCAAATAATAAGATGCTCTAGATCTGCATATAGTTTGAATAAATAAATAGGCTTAAATTTTAACATTGAGGAAAAGTGTTTTCCCTTGTATTTTGTTGTTGACGTCACAATGTTAAAATACCGCAATGCACAAACAGTGCTGGGTAGGTTACAAATTTTAGTCGGTTACTGATTCCAAATTAGGCCTACATGACAATAGTTAGTGACGTAATCCGTCATATTACACGGTAATGTAATCCGACTACTTTTTGATTACTTTTAGATTACTTTTGAACTAACTCGTTTATCACGTTGATTTGAATAGGATAATTTTGTACCATATTGATATAAAAATTAGCAAATAAAAAACATTAAGATATTCCAATCTTTGTGAGTCTGAGTCTAAGACAACATGAAGTGCATTAAATATTACAATACGGGTCAGGGTTTCCCCACTGTAAAAAAAAAATCCTGTAAAAAAAACTGTAAACTACTGGCAGCTGTGGTTGCCAGCATCATACTGTAAAAATACCGTGTGTTACTGTTTTTGTGTTAGAGCATATAGCTGTTAAATTGAAGTTTTATACTGTAGCTGACAATACGGTATTTAGCTGTTAATTTCAAAAACAGTAACACACCATATTTTTACGGTATGATACTGGCAACCACAGCTGCCACTTTACCGTTTTTTGTTTTGTTTTGTTTTTTCCAGGATTATTTTTTACAGTGAGGGCTTGAACTGTCCAGTAACTGTAGTCTGAATACGAGTATTTTAAAGTAACTACAAAAAGGACAAACTACGCATGGTAAAAGAAAACATAAACAGCCCATCTGAATAAACAGACATCAACGATTTTGTGCTGTGACTATTGGGAAATTTCTGAAACTAAATTGAGTCTGGCAAAGGAAAGTCATCACTATTCTGAACTCAAATGATACAATATTATTGCGATACTCCAAGACACTCAGGTTAACAAAAAATGTACTGGTGATTTAAAATGCTAAATCTGATATTGCACTATGAAAAGTAAATGAATATGATTGGACTTGGTGCCGGTAACCCAATGTCTCGAACAATGGTGACACCAGAATAAAAATATGAATGCTTCTGAAGCTGAAAATACAGAATTATGTTAGAAGAATGCTGACTAGATATATTTAAAATAATAGGCCACTTTTGACTAATAACATAAGACATTTGGCATTATCAGGACCCACAAATATTACCCCATTGCATAATTATTAGATTATTTTCAACATCATATATAGTAGTTTAATGTAGTACTGACACTAAAACTCAAACTCACTAAAAAGGAAAAACTATACACGCATTTTAATTGCGATATATATGCGACACCCCTAATATTCTATAATATATTGAATATTAGGGGTTTCCCATAATACACACCCCTAATATTCCCCCAATATTCTATACTATAATATATGTCAAATAATATATTCATATATTGGTATTTCAGTTACTAATAACATTCAAATTAACTACAGTCAAAACTGGTATTTATGGAAATTGATATACAGTATAACTCAAATTAATATTCCCATGTTGAAATATTTATTTATCTGGCAAGTATTATAAGCAGGGTAATGTCAGCCTGTTCTTTCGCAAACTAAACCCCTTCAGAGTGACAAGACCCCCTCAGCTTATAGTTTATTTTGCGAGTTAACTCTCATTTGAACCCTCAATTCAAAGTTTTCCATCTGATTTGTTTTTAAGATCTTTGTTCGTGGCGGGGTTGTAAGCAGCCATATTGTGTGGGCAGAAATCTACAACCCAAATAAACATCTTCAACAACAAAAACAGCCTCCCACTATTCATTACCAGAACTGCATGTGCTGAATGCAAGGCCCCAGTGTGTGTCGGCGGATGTGTGCTACGTTTATTTTTAGAGGTGCCTCACGTATGCGCAGTTGATGTCTGTGGCTCACTCATATGGCTAAATGTGGACAGCAGTTTGAGCTCACGAGAACATATGAACAAACGTGCGTACTACTTTACTGCCAAACACGTAGGGCCTCCATGTGCACCCACCCACAGCACGAGAAACCATTACACTGTACATTAAGCATGAATGATCTGCTTCCAAATCATTTATGAATCGTCCAAAATGTGTATGTAAGTTTTTCAAGTAATCGAAATACTCTACATGCATTGATGTAAAAAGTGTGTCAGAGGCTACCAGTACTGTCACACAAAAATTGAATGATTTCACACAGTATAAATCTAGTGCACCATGTCACAGTCTCCTTCATGCTAACACCATTGTATTAATAATACACTAGAGGGTTACTATTATTGCATTGCAGTGAATTCACCATGGGTAAGGGATGCTTTTACACTGTAAAAAAATATTGTTGGTTTAACTTAAAAAAAATTAAAAAATTGAGTAACTACAATGAAGACTATTGATTTAATCATCAGAAACTCAAAATATTATGTTATCTGAACCACATATAAAATTTAAGTTGATTTGACAGAAGAAAAAATGTTGTGATTACAAATCATGAAAATATTTGTTTTACAGTGTAGGAGCAGCATGAAGAAGAGGGACAATTTGGGCTGATAAATGCACACTTTGTGACTGCACATGCTATATTAATATGTCAAGTTGCTACATTGTTTGGCAACCACAAACAGTAAACCACAAAAATAATGCCAGCCTATGGTCTTCAAGGGCTTCTTTGACCATCTCTCAAACATTGTAGTGTTACAATGTTTACCACTTCGAATACTACGCACTATACTACGCACATGGCACCCGTTATCGTTAATAACATGCGCTGTGATGGTTAGGTTTAGGTGTGGGGTGGGGTAGGGTAGTCTCATTTTACGCTAAAGGATTTATGACGCCTTGGGTTCGCGTGAATATTAATGATAAAGGGTGCCATGTGCGTAGTATAGCGCCGTTTTGTCATATAGCGTTCTATGTGACGCTAAAGGATGAGAACGGGCTGGATATTTGTAACATATAAAGACTGAACATTGATGGGACGCATCTGGGGAGACATATGGTTACTTGACACTGCAAGGACGATCAGCTGTCCTTCCTGTCTCCCTGTAGCACTGTCTTAGGCATCTCACATTACAGTTTATTATTGCACTGGCCACATCTGGAGTCCTCGTGGTCCACCCTGGGCATCTTTTTCAGAGTCAGTAGAAAGTCTCTTTAATGTCTCAAGTTATTAGTGTCTTAAGGACTGTTGCATGTGCACAGGTGCATGGGCAAGAATTATTTATGGTTCATTGAACAAGCATGAAAAACACTGTTTTTTTTTGTTTGTTTGTTTGTTTGTTTTTTTAAATCCTTTCCTAAAAAGATCTGTAAAGCTTATTTGGATTTTACAAAATGATTTTTTTTTAAAACAGTATCTTGAAAAGTGCCGATCAGTTAAGTGCCTAATGTAAAATATCCATTCATTTTCTCCATTGGGAAATGAACAGTAAAATAACTTATGAACAGTAAAAGACAGACCTACTGTTGGCTACAAAATTATTGATTGATGTTATTTGCCTTTGTTGAAGCTTCATCGGATTTAGTTCTTTACCTCATTAAAGACATTAAGTTAAAAAGTATAGTTTTCGCCCCAGATTCAAGTGGATTTGGGTCCAAGAATCCAAGTGCCAGGCACGGGTTGAGTAGTTATGAGTTTTAGTGGCCTTGGGCAATTTTAAATACATGTGTTTTTACAAAATTGATCTCTGAAGACTTAAATTCTTTTAAAATACACTTTAAATGATGTTTCTTATTTGTAATCTCTGATTTCAGTCTATGTCATACCCAGTCCTAGACTGTGCAGACGTTGTTGCTTATTACATGAAAAATAATGCCATAGGGTAAAATCAGACTGCCATTTTGAATGATCCATGGTAATGTTTTCCCTTGCTTTTTCTCATTAATCCCACGCAATTTCCAAAGTAGCCAGAGCTTTTCTTTGTGCATGACATGACAGAAATGGGCAAATGACATATCTACGCAATTTCCCACAAAATCTGTCCCGAAATCATTCTTATCATTTATGAGAGTATATATGGGAAAGTTTTAGAATTAGTAATATGGTATACATACATGTACACAGTGGCGTAGGTTTGATTTTGAAATTGTTGGGGATGGGGACATCAGCATATAAATATATTTCAAGTTTTAATCAAAATTATTCCTGGATATATCAGTGTCACTGAATATTGGTAGGGAAACGTCCCTGACGTTCCTACTAAATTTTACGTCCCTGCTCTATATAGTGCTGTTGATGATGACTATATGAGATCCAGGTTTGCGTAGTTAGGTGCTGAGGAGGAGGATGGGAAATGCTGTCTATGACAAAATCAAAGTAATGTTGTGATTCACCTCGTGGCTGTGTCACGAGGTGAATCATACACCTCCATAAACGAGAACCTACCAAGACTAACTGAACAAAAGGAAATTAAATATAGATACCAATAAACAATGATGAGGTGTTACACAGATGATGAAGATGAAGAACAGGGTAATTGAGGGAGTGAGTTCAGGTGTGGAGACAAGGAGGATTCTGGGAAGTGTAGTGAAGATGCAGGCTGGTTATTATCAAACCATTAAACTATTAAACGTTTCTATTAAAAAATGTATGGAAAAATACTTTTTTGTGTATTACACA